ATTATCTTATTTACTGTTGTCAATATTCTTAGTCCTCTTTCACAGCATTTCAATTCTTCTTTTCCCTTTTCCCCTTCAGGGCGTCCTCTTGCTATTTTTCAAAGCAATTTGACCTACTTAATTCCAGGTAGTACCATGGAGGTTTATGTTAAACGATCTGCATCTACAAGAGGAAGTCTTTGATTGAGATGCTAGAGAAAACTTGGCATTGTTACTGGGACTGATGCTATCAACACCAATGGATTACATTATTTCTGCTGTGAAGCAATTATCTACACTAGTTTTATGTGAACAAATATTTCAATAATCAAATCTCTTTATTTAAGAACTTATCCAACCCAGAAGCATTTTGTAAACTGTTTCATAATTATAACTATGCAAGTCTCAATTTCAGCCACCACTGGGATTGGACAAATCGGCTTCATATATATATTCAAATCTGTGTTCTAATTTTTGTATATGTTTTAAAAAAGAAAAAGCATGTAAATGCATTTATTTTTCTATGGAATCGTCCTTCAGGGATACATTAATATAGGCTTTCTTTAATATATACATTTATATAGACACAATTTTCCTTAATTTAGATACTGTACACTATTTTATAACAAGGCAATGTGCAATTGGGGAAAAACCCAATTAATTTGTGTATTCTAATTTATTAAATGTATGCCGCCCACCTCCCAATGACTCTGGGCAGCTGTTAGTCCAGGAAGTACAAATTAATGTCGATATACACTTGACATTCTTTACAGTTTGGGGTAGATATTTCTTTCTGGATATGTTTATGTAACATATATTTTTAATATTTATTTTTTCTTCCATTCAATTGTGTCCAACTCTCAGAGACTCGCTGGACAAGTCCCTGGAGTTTTCCTGGCAAGGTTGTTCAGAAGTGATCTGTCATTGCTTCCTTCCTAGGGCTGAGAGAATAACTGGCCCAAGGTAATGCAGCTGGTTGTGTGCCTTAGGCGGGAATAGAAGTCAGTCTCCTCATTCCTAGCCTGATGCCTTAACCATTCTATCAAACTGGTTGTTTCTGTAATATTTAACTTTATCTAGATATGGTTGAGCCAAGTGCAAATGCACGCAGAAAGGTTTACCAGTAGCTAAGTAACAATTTATCATTTTCAGCAACATTATTCTAGTACTACTATTCTAGTTCAGGTTTTAATATGTCCTTTTAATTTCCACCCATTTCCTTGGGTATAAGGAAACTGTCCTGACAACTTTCAAGACAGATTTTTAAAACACATCTGTAAACTAGAAATCTTTACATTTTAACAACACTGGCAGCAAATTCCTGTGCCTCCCCATCCTTACATCTTGCCAGAAGCCAAATTAAAGTTTGAATTGTGCTCAGCCTCTTTTATTTTCTTTCTGTCTCACAGGCATGTTTATCTAATTTAAACTGCCCTTGAGGAGAGAGAGTTAAACCTTTTGTTAAAACTGCTAATGACACCTTTGAAGGATAAATATTTCCAAATCACTGTTTTCATTTACCCTGTTTTCCCTAACAAAAGATATTTTAAGGGACTTTGCATCTGATTAGTTAAATTTCCAGCATTTATTCTGGCTAAATTAACTTTTTCCAGTTTCAAACTTTAAAATAATAGCTTGAACCTATTGTTATTGAATAATGTAGCCCACAAAAAGAAAAAATGGAGACATCATTTTATATAATATTGTTTTGATTATTTTAATTAAGTGTGATATGTTTAAAGTTTTGTACTAATCTTGAAGGTTGTTCAGTATTACTTTCAGTGAAAGAAATCCTGCTGAGCAAAATGTTCAATAACTTGTATGCATATCTGTGAGATTTTTTAAAAATATATTTTTCATTCTGATCATGGATTGTTGTCCCTTTAAAAATGTTTCATCTTTTTCTATTTAATAACTAAAAATTTTAAGATACAATTGAACACTACTTTCAATTGTTAACACGACAATTCTAGCTTCAAGGAAAAATTAGCTGTTTCATTTATCGTCCTCTCAATTCATAATTTTATATAATAATTCATTAAACTTGTATACCACCTGATTTTCAATGATTCTGGGCAGCTCATAATAACCATGGAAGTTAGAATAAAACATAAATAATAAAAAAGATAGGAAGCACAATGAAACAAGAGGTCTCCCACTCCTTTACCAAAGGCCTTGATGGAAAGTCAAGTCTTCACAGCTCTTCTAAACAACACCAGAGTGGGGGCCATCCAGATCTTGGTGGGGAACCTCATTTCAGAGGGTAGGATCTATTACAGAGAAGGTGTGCATCTAGAGTCCTCACAGATAATATTGTTTAATCAAAGGAAAGTGGAGCACACCAACTATAAATTATGGTTCTTGGAAAAAACTGCTACTGAACTTAAAGCTATTAACCATTCAGGAGATACAGATGTACAAGAATGTACCTTGTAACTAAGGTGACAGGTTTATATGTGATTGACAGGAGCATCAATGCGAATACAGATGTGTAGAGCAGCCAGGGAAGATCTTATGCTAAACTACAACCCCAGTTAGTAAACCATCATGACAAGCTGTACATTACAGACATAGTATGGTCTATGCATGGGTTCAAGTGTACTATGGAACATGCAAGTGCCCAAGAATGCTGAGACTATCTGGGCATCATGGAAGAAAGCTTAGCCTCATAGCAACATTTCCTAAATCACAAAATATTATGATGAGGCAACATGAGTTTAAGATGTAGGCATTTTTGAAAGTTTTCGTTTAACTGTAGCACAGGAGCACTTGTATGTACACGCACACATGCTGAATATAAGAAACTTCTGTTGCACAGCTGGATCCCAAATTATATCCATTCTAGAATAATGTTTTTAGAAGGTCAAAATTCTTACGTGGTCAACATATTTTCCAGTAATTCTCATATCCTACTATAATATGAAAAAATATGTTTTTCCAGTTGATGATTAAGGGTGAGGCACTGACTGATTGGAGGGGCAAATTACTACAGGGCAGGAATTCTAAATCTCTGCTCCTGCTTTTTCATGGGTGTGGGATAAACAAAAATCTCTCTTCCAGGCATGGGAAAAGTATCCTGAAGAAAACATACTGAAGGAGAAAAAATGTTCAGAAGCAAAAGGAACAAGTCCTCACAGTTCCTATAATAATGTTGCTTGTTCTTACACAAACTGCTGGTAAAATTTAAATAACTGCAGTGTCCTTCAGCTGCATTTTACTGGGAGGGGTGTGTATATGCTGTTACACACACTTGCTATTGCATTATAATAATTTTGGCTCAAAGGCAATTTAAACAAGGATGTTCCCAACATGCTTTAAGCTTGCCTATATCATCCACATTGACGACTTATGATTCTAAAATACATATTTTGATCCTTTGGAGGCAGAAGTTGACATTCTGTGGTGGCTCTCTGTAAGGAACCAGAGGTTTGCACCAATACAGAATTTGGATAGTGTTAATGTGTGTTGTTAAGGCCTCATTAACCACAATTGCATACCCCTTCTTTGCCATTCTGATACAATTCTGCTGTGCCAAAGTGTTCAAAAAGCAATTCTTTTTAGAAAAGAAGCCATGAGCACTAATAATACTAAGCAGGAGAATAAAGCTATCCTACTGACAAAGATGTGGTTTTAATGGTGACCTCTCTAAAGTGGGGTTTGCAATAGAAACACAAACAGAGAAACAAAAGATTTCTGACGCCAGCTGCTTTGGATGAGTAAGAGATAATGGCTTATCTTTCCTACCTTTGGACCTTGGAAGATAAAATCAGCAATATACTCTCAATACAGGAGGTCAGCCAAATGCTACATGGTTGAACACTATCACCTATTATCTTGAATGCTTTCATTAACTTAGTTCCCATGAAAATTGGCTGCAATTTTAAAAGCACCAGGCATTCTGTAATCTTTTCAGAGAGCAAACATTTCTAAATTTCTCTTTGTCATGTGCATTTCAAAATATAAAATGATACAGGTAGTCCTCAACTTATGAGATACAACCTCAATGGAGTCCAACATTTCTGTGGCTAAGTGAATCAGTTGTTAAGTGAGTTTTGCCCCATTCTACAACCTTTTTTGCCACAGCTGTTAAGTGAATCACTGCAGTTGTTAAGTCAGTAACATAGTTGTGAATCTGGCTTCCCCATTGACTGCTTGTCAGACACACACTGCTTCTTTGTCTTGATATTTGGTTTGAATTCATAATCTTGAAGAGAATTTGGACATTCCCTTCAAATATCTGCTTAGTCATGAACTCTTCAAGGATTCAGATAGCAGCCAAAGAAAGTCCCTCAGTGGTGTCTGACTGCATTTTCAGGGTGTAAGAAGATTGAATTATTGAATTTGGAGCAGCTATAAAATTTATGCTAACAGCCATTCGTTCCAAGAAGCTAATTGAATTATTTATGTCATACTGGAAATATCTGATGGGTTTGCAAAAAACTTCATGATCTCCAGATTGCAACAAGAGACACCACCCCACCACCCCCGAGTTACATATATGGGCTGGTGGCTACACAAATTGAATAAATACATAAATCTTTCTATACGCTATATAGAATCACAGTACATTCCCAAGTAGAGTCTCCCATTTAAAGAAGGAAATAAAATGCTTCATGTTAAAGGTAGGTGCTTGTTTGATCCATGTTGCATTCAGAGATATTGTTCAGAGATACTTTCCTACGTATTCACTGTTATTAGAGTGCTATGTTGAGGATACCTCTAAAGAAACTCAGAGCATCGTGTTTATTTTTCAGGTATTGATGCCCATAAACTGAGCATGGGAATAATAGCTACTGTATATCTAGAAATTAATATTCAGAATATAATGCCTTTGCTCCTGAAAACAGTACAGAGTGACTAGAGTCTTCATGGATTTGAATTTGTCATAAGAAATTATTTCTTTTTTAAAGATGTTAGGATAGAGGCCATCACCCATCTGCTGTATTTGACTTCAGAAAATGCCCTAGTAGGAAAGAGAAAACATTTCCACACCTGCTCTTTCCCTACCATACATAATCTACACATTCAAGTCCTCTGCTCTCAAGTTGTCTTTTTCCCCCTAAGCTAAACAAGTCTCAGATATAACTTTTTCTTATAGTAGAATTGCTCCTTTTTATGTCTGTTTATCATTGTAGTAACTCTTCTGCAGCTGTATAAGGTCATGCTGGGGTGTCATTATGGTAAAAATATTCCAGATAAAAGACATCATTTGTTTCTATGTTGGGGCTCATTCTGAGATGAGGAATGGCATATCAATAAAATGAATGATAAAAATGACAGGTGGTAATTTTATTTAAATTTTTTTTTCTAATCCCAGGATGAAATTTGCTTTTAACAAAGGGCCCCCCATACTGAGTTAGTATTTACATTCAACTATCTGTCACAGCCCTTAAATTGTCTTGTCTTTTCAGTTCCCAGTGGCTCAGATGTCATCAACATATATATATGAAGGCAGTTTTTGTCTCCATGTCCATTACTTTACTTTACTTCTATTGCTTATACTGAATTTGCTATTTTAATGCCCATTCCCCTATTTTTAAGAATTCCTTTTAGAGTTCCTGGTTTTCACATTTCCTTTTAACCATTTAAATAGTGTCGACAACCACCTCACTATACATCCCAGATACACAGAAATTTCACTTTATTTCTGCAGTTATATGTTGCTTAAAGTCATAATATCCAGGGTATCTGAGGAATCGTCTCATCCAGGAGTAACCTGTCCCAGCTATGTGACCAGCCCCTTTCCATTTCAATTCTTTTAGTCTGTTGATGATATCATATACTTTTGTTTCTTCTCTAATCTAATGTGCAGGTCTTTCTATCTTGTCTTGTAATGCTGAGCATGTATCTTTCCACCCCTTGTAGCTTTTGTATCGATTGTGAGGCTAGTATCCATGTTTCACTGCCATATGTTAGAACAGGTAGCACACACTGATTGAAAACTTTTCTCTTCAGGCATGGTGTTGGGGAGGTTGTTCTTGAAAAGTATGCATTGCTTGCGGAATGCTTGCCAACCACATTTAATAAATTGTTCAATTTCTTTTATTGTATCTCCTTTCATTGAGATCCATGGGCCAAAGCATATGGAATAGTCTACTACATCTAGTTCTTCTCCATATATAGACACACATACACACACACACACACACATCTATCTATCTATCTATCTATCTATCATCTATCTATCTATCTATCTTTGGTGAATTTTTTAAACACTACCTAGCTCTTTTTCAGGTTTCTTATTAAGCTGAATGGTTCTCCTAGTTTTGTGCAGTTTTGTATATAATTTATTTATTTATTTTAGACTAAATGTCATGCAAGAATGATGGATTGTGTTTGTTGTCTTATTTGAATCCAGTTTTGCTTACTCAACAAATTTTTCAGTTATGTTTTCTGTGCAAAATAAACTATCAATATTCCTGCCCTCCTGTCTTTTCTTTTATACTTTCCTCCTATAAATTGGTGGAGATGTTAAATGATATGATTTATATGATGCAGAGGCATGAAGCATCTGGTAGTATAGGTAATGCAACTATTTTCTGTATCGCAAGAACTAAGGAGTGATTTTGCCTTTGCATAATCTTCAAATTACTTCAGATTGCTGTTAACAATCAATTCTCCCTATAGTCATCTTTAGGCTTGAGTTAGCAATAAGTATGGAAACTATAGGACATCAGCTGCAATGACAATTCTATGTGTCTGAAGAAAAATATTTTAACAGCAATTTTGTTACATCCTTGGAAAAAATATGAGTAGAAAAATGTGGACAAAATGTTTAGATAAAAATTAAAATATGTTTTAGAAGAATATCTTTTCTACTATTAATTGCAGGAATAGGGATGAAGCAACACCAAACAACATGCTTTAAAATTATTTTTAAGAAATAGAAGTGAAATAATCATAGCCCTGAAAAAGGGATAAAGTCAAGATGTTTAGGGAGT